TGTAAAAGGTGCAAAAATGCTTCAAAATCCAGTCCTCCCTTTGTGGTCCATCCCCAGCGCCCCGCGTTTTCCTGCCAAGAGGCAGTTGCAAAGCAGAGAAGACGTTTCCCGGGGGTCTCTGCAGGGGGGACATCTGTGCGTCCAGCCGCAGCAGCTGCAGGCCACTCGCACCCTGGAGATCATTTTGCTGCGTAATTAGCTCCCTTCGCTCCCGAGAGCTGCTTCTCCTCTGGGGTTCCCAGCGAAGGCGGCAGGAGTGGAAGGGGGGGATTTGCTCCGCAGGCTTCCAGCCAGAGCCGCCGGTGCTCCTGCCCGGCCCCAACCTGGAGAGAAAGGGCTGGAGGGGGAGATCACATCCTCATCCTGCTCCTCCTCCTCCTCGGGTGATGGAGTAACAGGGAAACAGGAGACGACAAAATGAAGGTCAGTGTAAGTATTAGTTTATTTTATTCCTGTTGCAATTAGTGTAATGGCTTTGCTGGTTTCGTTTGTAGTGGAAGTGTATATAGCGTCAAATCTGCACGTCCGGGACCGCTTCCCAGAGCTTGCTCTTGGTCCCGTTCGCACGTTACTAACGGAGCACGTGGACTGTATTTTGAAAATACAATCCAAGTTACGCTGAAAGCAATGCTTTGTCAAGAACAACAGGACGGTTAAGAAGGGTAAGGGTTTGTGCCATGCATAGCAGGCGATAATACGCCTTATTTAAAAAGTTACCATAAATTACCCTGGCTCGCTACCAGGATATCCCTCACCGTCCGTATTTCCTTGGAAATAATGAGCTTAAATGATTAACACTCGAGTTATACATCATCTCAAAAAAGATTATTTTATTTGACACCGATTACTAGAAAAAGGGTAATGGAAATGTTGTCACAACTTGAGTCACTCTGATGAAGAAAATGTCAAGTAATTTCGATATGAGTTCCGTGAGCCTGGGAAAGCCTCCGGGCTCCGGGGGGACAGCTGGGCACGTCCCGCAGCGCTCTGCAGGGAGAACTGAAGCTCAAAAGAGGAAAGGAGCGGCGGCAGCGCTCGTTTTTGGGAACTGCTGCTCTCACCGGGGCAGGCGAAAAACCATCCGCTTCTCTTCCCAAAGAGACCTTAAAATTTCAGCTAAATGCAATTTTGTCGGAAAGGGTGGTCTGACAGCAGAGTGAACGTTTTTGGGCGGGAGGCAGCGGCAGCCTTGGGGAGTTGGGGGGTTGCTGCTGATTCATTACGAATCAGAGCTGCCGCTCCTGTCGCATCCAGGGCATCGGCCGGAGCTCCGCCGCAGGTCAGACAGGGTGGATGTGGGGACGGCATCCTGTCACCTTGGGCACCCAGGAGGAAGAGTATCCCGCAGTCACCGCAAATGAAAAATGGGCAACTTGCTCCGGACGACCTGTCCTGAGAATTTCTTGCCTCTTCCCCGGGCAGGCAGAGGAAGGAGAGCGAGGACCCCACTGTAACTTTTAAGTATCTGTTGCTTAAAGGCAGAAGGAGAAAATTCGCACTTGTCGGAACTTTCTGTATCTTTAAATCCCTGTTTGGAAATACATGCTGTAGTAAAATGCAATTAAGGCACTAAAAGGTTTAGAAAAGTCAAAAAAGTAAAGTCATTTGGTGCATATGCGGCAAAAAACTTTGGATAGTAGGAGGAACCAAAACCCACAAATACAGGCGTATTCCGTTTTTTTAAATTTCAGGAAATGACAGTTTATTTTTCCTTGAATTTGGGCATAAGACCACACATGCAAAAATGCTACAAATGGGAATGAAAATCCTGATCGTGCTGAAAGCAGCGGGGCTTTTCTGTCAGTTTTAACACAGCTGGAATTTGATTAACTACTTTGGTGGAGAAAAGAGAATTTGGGGAAAATGAACAGATCCGGCTTGTCATTCCCGCCCCTGCAGCGCTGACTCATGTGAAGCTGCACAACTTCCACCTAAGTGGTTCTGCCTGAAGCTTAAAAAACGCTTGTTCTTTATTTTATCAGAAACTCGCTTGACCATTCAGAACTTAAAACCTGACGCTTAGCACCTGGTTCCACC